TTGCTGTGTACAAGCCAAGCACGGTGTATGTTGCCCCATGTCTCAGAACCCTCAGAGGAGTCCTCACAGCTGGGCCTTCCCATTTTCCTCCACCCCATTTAACAAATGAGAAAGCAGAGGGGGAGTCAGGGTCCACATCAGGTCCGTCTGACCCCCAAGTCTCTTTCTGAACGCCCGGGCTTTGCTGCCTCACAGCCCAAGGTGACTTGAGGAAGGCAGCGGCGGGCTGGGGCGTCTCAAAACAGGAAGAACCTTGGGCAATGACCATCTGGAAGCTGCAGGGTGTGGGAGTGTCAAGTGATTTTGAAAGTACATTCTGTGGCCTCATGTCTGAACTTGGATCCCTCTGAATGAACTGAGAGGTCAAAGTGCAAATCCCCCTGCGGTGGGGGACCAGCTCTGCCTCCTTCAGAAACAAGAGTCTCTGGGCCTGAGGCTGGGGGGGATGTCCACTGGCCCAGCCTCTTGCTTTGGTCAGAACTTTCTACTCTTTCCTCCTGGTTGGGGGGAGGTCACCAGGTGCCAAGCATTTACTGACCACCTACAGTGTGCCGATCATTCCACTTGAAATCATGACAACAAGCCTGCAGAGGATCCATAAATTGCCCCATTTTTCAGATGGGAAACCTGAGGCTCAGAGAGACAAATGTAATGTAATCAAGGCGATGCCATTATTAAGCTAGAATTCAAAGCCACATCTGCCTGATATCAAAGCTGGGCTTTTCTTTCTGCTACATAACCTCAGTTTGTAATCTGGAAGGCTGTCTGATCATCTAGAAGGGTATCTGAAATACTTCCTGCTGAAGTTTGAGCCCATTTGCTTTTATCATTATTGTCATCATTACCTAAATGTATTGAAGTATAAAATATAGACAGGAAAACGCACAAATTAAAATAGCTGGATGAATTTTCACAGTGTGAACACCCCAGTGTAACCAACACCCAGTCAAAGGAACACATGAGCGGCACCCCCAAAGCCCTCTTAGCAAGAGCGGAGTGGCTCTGCCATCATTTATCCATTGTGCAGGTGACAGACATTTGGATGGTTTCTGGTTGTTTAACCCACTGGCTTTGGTTCTGCCTGGGTGCAACTGGAGAAAAGTGGGTCATTCTCCCACAGAGACGTCTCAAATCTCTTCCTCCCTCCTCTTCCCCTGCCAGCGTGTTTCAGATCTGAAGCTCAGAACGCCTGGGGAAGCCCAGCTCCTTTTACTTTCCCATATCCTGCAAACCTTCAGTAATTCTGAGCTTCATCTCCAATACCCTCTGGCAGGTGACGTCATACATGGAGTCCAGGCAGTGGGACCATCCAGTAAATGGGGCTTTGCAGGGAGGGGTGGGTCAGGGGGAGGACTCTGTCCGCTGGCTGAGAGGACGCGCTCCCACCCATCGGGGTATCTCGATGACGAGGGTCCTGTTTCTTCTCTTCTGCAGTGAGGATGGGGGCAGCAGGTTCCAGGCTCTGCCAGCTCTTCTCCTTTCTACCTCCATCTATAATGAGAGGGCAAGAAAGTCCGGCAGAGCCCCTGGGTACAGTGACTCATCTGTAAAATGGGGATTAGGGCAGCCTCTACTCACATTTACTATGTGGGACCACTTAGAACAAGGCCCAGCCCAGAGGGAGGGCGAGCTCTGGCCGACCTGTGTTCTAACCCAAACTCTGCTGCTTACCTGCCATGTGATCCTGAGCAAGTTTCCAATCTCTCTGAGCTCCAGTTCCCTCACCTGTAAGACGGGAATAGCAGTATCTCCTTCATGGTGTGGTTGTGAAAAATCAACCCACTGTTGGACATGTGGTCAAGGCGCAGCCGATCGTGACTATTCTTAATAGAATTTGTACTCCAGCACCTAAGCCCCCTCCTGCTCCTTCCCATCCATTACCTGGAGATCTTGACAGATTGTGGCCTAACAGTATCATCATGTGTTTTTTTTTTCTAGGGAAGTAAAAACACACAGACTTGCTGACAAGTCTCAAGGACCCACCACATCCAAGGAGTACCCACGAGCTGCTGATGGAGGCAGAAGCAGACGGGCGTCTAATTTCCCACAGACTTCAGAGAGAGGAAGAGCCTTACAAATCCTATCTTCTGACCCAGCAATTTCACTTCTGGAATCCAGCCTAAAGAAACCACCCTTTCAAAATAGACAAAGCTGTATCGTCATAGTGCTATCCATGGCAATGAGTGTTGGTGACCTAAAGTCATAGTGAGAAAAAAATCAATGAATAGAAACGGCCCCAGAAGTGGCCCAAATCATGGACTATTAGTAGATAAAGACATTAAAACAGTTATTATAACTGTATTCTATACATGTAGGAAGATAGAGGAAAGCTTGAGAATGTTAAGTAAAAACATAGAAGATGTAAAAAAGAGCCAGAGCAAATTTCTAGAGAGAAAAAATACACCTCCTGAGATGAAAGATACAGCAGATGGGATTAACAGCAGATCGGGCAGCGCAGAAGAAATGCTCATTTATTCTATTTATTCTAAGCAGTGACGGTGTGGATGAAGATGATGACGATGGGAGTAACCAAAGCTAACATTTATTGATCTCTAGCTGTGGACCAAGCCCCGTTCACATACCATCTCGTTTAATCTCCACAAGAAGCCCGTGAAGTAGTTACTGTTGCCACCCCTATTTTACACACGAGGAAATGAAAGACAGAGTTGAGCAACTTTCTCCAGGTGAAGCAGCTGGAAGGAGGGAGCCCAAGCGTAATCCAGGCGACCTGGGTTTGACCCCCACCTCCCCATCCTCTTCACCTCCGCGTGATGCTCACAGCCCGTGTGGCGGTCACCACAATGGCATCCTCTGTGTAGGTGAAGCTTGGTGCAGTGTGCTGTATGCATGTGACCTCTAAACCCTACAGCAATCAGAGGACGGAGGGACTGTTGTCCCCATATTGTCCCAATTCTACAAATATGGAAACCGAGTCTCATGGAGGTCAAGAGATTTGCCCAGGTTCCCACAGCTGGTCTGAAAAGGAGCCGGAATTTGAACCAGTTCCCTCTGAGCCCAAACCCAGCCTTTCAGATGTGCCCTGGGGCCTCTCGAGGTGCAGGGACAACTGTTTTTGAGGTCCCTTTGCAGCATCCATAGCCTGTCTTCTCTCCCCCTAGGGAAAATCCTTCTGGGGTCAACAAGTGGTCCTGGCTGCTTTTCCTCCTGCCCGAACAGTACCAGATCAGGGGAAGCTGGGGCTCTGGGAAGTAGCTCTGTGCCCCTATCAACGGCCCAGACGTGGAAGATCTCTTGTAGGGTAGGGTCCTACACTGGTAAGAGCGTGCATGGGGGAGGTATGTCAAAGAACATGCCGGAGACATTTACTTTGCCTGCTGTTTATTTTGTATGCAGATTGTTTTCTCATACATGAGGTGGTCAGTTGGTGACTGAGTCAAAGGATAAAGGCAAAAATGAGATTTAACAGAGAGAGGAAAGAGAGTTGAGAGGGACAGAGGGAATAACTCCCAGCAGGGGCTCTTGCTGGCACACTCTTTTGGGGGAACCGATGAGCTGGCAGCAAAGAGGTCAGCCTGTGCACCATGTCCTTGAACAGCCATCTAACAGGCATGGAAGAAAAGCAATTTCTGCTATCAAGGGACTCGCTGTTAAACCTTGAAAGGTTACCGGTGGAGCCTTTGTGGCAGATGCCTCTTTGTAAGGCCGGTATGTCCTGCCATCAGCACCTCCACCCTAGCTAGACTGCGTCCACACTGTTTGCCTCACCAGGATTTTTAAACGTGAAATGGGGCGGAACTTCTGCAGAGTAAGGTGTCGACGCACATCAATTGCCTTCAAAGTGGCTTGTGCTTTGACTCAGCAAGTCCGCTTCAGTAGCACATTCTACAGAAACAATTCTGGAAATGGACTGGATTCAGCCTCAAGGATTCCTTTCCCTGTACGGTCTCGAATAGTGAAAAATCGAAAACAACCGGTATATCCATCAATGGGGGATTTGTTAAATGAATGGCATAGATGTATAATGGAATACAAGATTACCTTTCAATATGTTACTGCAGAAGAATATTTAACAACTTAGAAATGTGTCCAATATATTGGTAAATGAGAAGACAGACTGCAAAGACCTATAACATTTTCCTAATTTAGTCAGGGAAAAGTATGGAAATATATATTGTTGTACATACAACAATAAAACCAGAAGAACATACACCAGAATGTTAATGGTGGAAACAACCTAAGTGCACATCAATGGATGAATGGATAAAGAAGATGCGGTGTGGTGTGTATATATATATATATATATATAATTATACTATATTAGAATAGAATATTATTTAGCCATGAAAAGGAGGACATCCTGCCATTTGCAACAACGTGGATGGACCTTGAGGACATTATGTATGCCAAGTGAGACGAGTCAGACAGGGAATGACAAATACTGTGTGACATCACTTACATGTGGAATCTAAAAAAGGTAAATTCATAAAAACAGAGAATAAAATCGTGGTTACCTGGGGATGGGGGGGTGAGAGGGCACAGGATGTCTGTTGTATAAAGGTACAAACTCGCAACAAGTAATACATAAGTCCTAGAGATCTAGCGCACAGTACAGTGAACAAAGGAACAATGTATTGTAATCATCAAACTTGCTGAGACTAGATGTCAATCATGTCAACCACTAAAAAGAAATTATAATTATATGAAGTGATAGAGGTGCTAATTGTTGCTGTCATGGCAATTATGTTACAATATACAAATGTATCAGATCAACATGCTGTACACCTTAAATTTACACAATATTATATGTCAAATATATTTCGATTTTAAAAAGTTAATGGTGCTTAATGGATTCACAGTGACTTTAAATTTTTTCTTGTTGTTGATGTTTTCCAAATCTTCTATACTGAATGTATGTTTGTTTTGTAATCGAAAAATTTTTTAAAAGCCCAGAAACCAGATATTTCAAAAAGAAAGAAGTTCCCAATGGGCAGAAAAGAGGAACAGACAGAGCAGGAGTGGGCTGCACCAGAGCTGGAGCTGGACTGAGTGGGAGTGGGCGCAGGGGGTCCAGCTGATATAAGGAGCTGCCCACACGGAAGGGGACTTCCAGCAGCTGCTTCCATCGCTCTGCGCTGGGACCATGGAGGTTCCCCTGCTGTGCGTGCTGGTGGTGTTTGCTGGTGAGTGGGGGCAGGACCCACAGCTGAGAAGGTGAGGGAGGATGTGAGGAGGTCCTTTATCTCCTTCCTGGACTGAGCTGCTGCTCCGATCCCCACTACCTTGGCCCCCCAGGCTTCAACCCTTCCACCTCCTGTAAGGAGCCATTAGCGGCTCCCAGGCACCTAGAATGGGGGCTCCAGCCAGAGAGCTCTGGGCAGCCAAGCTATGTGGCATGCCCCTGGACTGCTGTGAAGGGGAGAGCTAGAGGTTCAGAAACTGGGGGCCTGCTGAGCTGACCCCTATAGTACCACGGACACAAATTACAGAAATGGATCTCCCACCGCCTCCTGCACCCCTCTCTTCATTTGACTGAATAATAGCGACCTTTGGCATAGGCACAGCTCTCTCTCTTTCTAGAGTCCTTTCGTCTTCATTCTCCCCCTTGACCCTGGGAAGAGGGCTCTGTTGACTGTCAGAGGGAGATGGAGCAGTGTCCATTCGGTCTTTAGCAGATCAAATGTCAGAATGTGGTTGTTAGGGGCCGGCTCCGTGGCCGAGTGGTTAAGTTCGCTCGCTCCGCTGCGGCAACCCAGGTTTGGATCCTGGGCGCGGACATGGCACCGCTTGTCAGGCCACGTTGACGCGGCGTCCCACATCCCACAACTGGAAGGACGTGCAACTAGGATATACAACTGTGTACAGGGGGGTGGTTTGGGGAGATAAAGCAGAAAAAAAAAAAAAAGAATGTGGTTGTTAGCAAGCTGGCAGTTTTGTTTCTTGACCCATCTCAAAATATGTGATTTTAGGAAGGATTGGCATTTTTAAATGTGGTTTTATGTTATCTTGGGGCTCCCAAATTCTTGAGAGGAACTGATCTCCAGGGTTACACTGAAAACCAGTAGGAAAATTGCAATCCACTACCGAAATTCATCTCTCAGACGTAAAGAGGCAATACAGTGTAGAGATAGAATACAGAGATGAACCTGCATTCAAACGCTAGCCCGACCATCTCAGAGTAGTATGACCTTGGCCAAGTCACCCCATCTCTCTATATCCTCATCTGTAAAATGGGCACAATAGCATCTTTTCCACAGGATTGTTAGAAGGACTCTAATGAGAAAATATATACAAAGCGTTTAGCAAGTGTGAGTAATATTAAGCAAGCAATAGCTTAACACGCAGCACATGCAAGAGGTGGGAGCGCTGTTGCCTCCCATGGCTGTGATTAACCCTTGGGAGAAGGGGCTCCATCCCCTTCCGATGGCAGCCAAGGTTGGGAAAATAACAAGACAGGAATTGCTGACGAGCTAAGCCAGTTCCCCAAAGGCCCCATATCCACAGATTGAGTGCCTCAATTTCTCAGGGCTGGGTTCACCTACTCTAAAATTGTTAGAAATAAGACCATCTTAAAGCATTCTGAATCAAAGCTGAATTTATTGCTTGCCTGGAAAGAGAGAGCTGCACCATTCAGGTGTGAGTGTATCTGTGTGGGTATTTCTGAGATGCAATGGAAAGGGCTAGATTTAGGGCAGAAAAGGGGGTGGAGGAATACCAAAGAGACAAGATTCTGAATCCAGGTCCCTGGCTGGCCCGCACGGTGGACTGTCACTCTCTTTGCCATTGGTTGCCTTTGGGTTTCTTATCACTGAATCTGGGAATCCAGAGGGCCTGGGATCGGTCATTAGCACTGCGGAAGCTTAGCAAGGTTTCCCATTAATATCAAGTGCAGCTAGAGCCAAAGGAGTGACGACGTGTATTCCCTAACCTTGAAGGGACACACTGGGGACACAGGCCTGCAAGTACCGGACACCACCAGTCCCTGGAGGTGCAGCTCGAGACCACCTGCTTGTGATCTCACCCTGAGTCCACTGTACGAGTCCCTCCCAACCCCCTCTTCCCACCCCAACGACCCCCAATGTGGGGCTCACCCTATTTCATTTGTGTGAGGAGCTTTCATTATAACATCATTTCCCAGAGGATGGGGGGTACGTGTCTTCCAAAACTAGGGACCTCCCCAGCCCAGTCTCGCTGAAACTCTCGGCTCCATCTGTGTTCTCGAATCATCTCTTGTGGTTGCACACACACATTGCCGTCTCCTTCTTATCTTGTCTGTTTCTCCCAAACTCTCCCCTGAATTCATGGACTTAATATACTTTATTCCTCCTAACTCAGCATAATGCATTCCTCTCTCCCAATAAAACAAATTTCCCTTATGATCAATTCTAACCGCAGCTGCTATAACTGAAATGGAAAAACATCCATGAAAATGATTGATTTCTAAAGCACACTGCCTCCCAGGACCGCTGTGCACGATTTTTAATAAGCGGACTTCTCTATGGGATGCAGGGGGGAGAGGGGGAGTGTGGGGAGTGTAAGAAGAAGGGTGAGGCTGATTATCCTTCCTATAATAGAATGGGAACTCAATGCCCAGAGACATGGAATGGAGCCAAACCGCCTTGGGTTTCGTCCTGGCTCCTCCATTTACCAGCCACTGTGACCTGGAGCAAGTCACTGAGCGCCAGTCTGCTCATCTCTAAAATGGGGATTAAAAATATTATTTATCATACCAATGTTGGTTTCTTAGTTTTCCTCCATATACCACAATTATGTAAGATGATAATAGCATTAGAGGAAACTGGGTGAGGGGTATATGAGAATTCTCTGCATGATCTTTGCAACTTTTCTATACATCTAGAATACACCAAAATAAAAGGTTATTTATTTTTTAAAAAGTAGTATTTAGGGCCAGGCCCCACGGCCTGTTGGTTAAGTTCGGCATGCTCCACTTTGGCAGCCCCAGTTTGGTTCCCAGGCACAGACCTACACCACTCATCTGTTAGTGGCCATGCTGTGGCAGTGGCTCACATACAAAAAGAAGGATATTGGCAGTGAAAGTTAGCTCAGGGTGAATCTTCCTTAGCAAAAAAAAAAAAAAAAAAAGAATTTACCTCATGGGATTGATGCAGTCAATAAATTACAACATGAAAAGACCCATAGTAAGCACTCACCAACTGTCATTATATTTTTAATATCTATTGTGTGTGATGTTATTTTATTAATCAAGGTCATTAGTCTGAGCTGGGCAGAACAGAGGTGCCAGGCCTGTGGCCCACTGGCCTCCCCTGAGATTCATGTCCTCTCCTTGTTGCTGGGCTCCTTGGCAGGTGTGATTCCAACCCAGGGAGGAATTCTGGACCTGAACAAGATGATCCGCCAAGTGACCGGGAAGACACCCTTCTTCTCCTATTGGTTTTACGGCTGTCACTGTGGACTCCGTGGCAAAGGCCAGCCCAAAGACGCCACGGACTGGTAACCCCTTCGCAGGCAGGCCCACAGTGGCAATCCTGTCCTGCCCCCTCCCCGGGACTCTCCCCTTTCCTCTCTGTTCATTTGTTCATTCCACAAATTCGTTTTGTACTCTGTGCTGGGAACTCTGCTGAGCTCCGGCACAGTTCCATCTCTCTTGGATCTTGCCTTCTAGAGGGCTCCCCAGAGACTCTGAAGGACCCCCTTGCACTCCAATCTCTAATCTAGATAGAATACCCCCACACACTCCCCACTGCCATTGCATGTTGTCTTTAAAAAGTCCCACCTCTTTTTGCCATTATCTGATGTGATCTTCACAACGAACCTGGGAATGAGCCAGAGGAAGGATGAAAGCCAGCCAGGCCCAGGGTCACTTCTCTGATCTACCACTTACAGGCTGTGTGACCTTAGGCAAGTGGCTTGGCCTCCCTGAGTCTCAGTTTCCTCATCCGTGAAATGGGAATAATACTAGCATCTCTATTATAGGGAGTAGCGAGGATTAAGAGAAAGTTCAGACATAAAGGAGGTGCCTGATACTCAGGAAGCACTCAATAAGTGTTAACTAGCATGACCATAAAGAGGACTAGAACTCTGCAGGACTTAGCTCTTCCAAGGTTTCTCCTCTGGAGCAGGGGCAGCCAGAGACCTGAGTCAGCCAAGGAGCGTGCAGCTGTGCTCTCTGCCTGTCCCACCTTCTGTCCTCTCCCTCCAGGTGCTGCCATGCCCATGACTGCTGCTATACTCATCTGAAGTACCACAAATGCCGTCGCCGCTGGGACCGTTACCACTACACGTTTTCCGAGGGGGACGTCCAGTGCCGTGAGTGCCCGGGCCTCGGGGTTGGAGTTGGAGGCTGAGGAAGGGAGTTCTGGCACTCACTGCCTTCATGTGCTGTGTGATGATGCACAAGCTGCCCGACCTCTCTGTTTTTCTCATGTGTCCAATGGTGGTGGCTGAGTTGTGAAGGAGGGGCAGGAATGGAGGTGGGAGCATGGAGAGGTCCGAGAGGGGCTTTGACCTCTTCAGGATCTGGAAGGCTGGTGGACCTCAGCTTATTTCCCTGCCTACCACCGACCAGCTGTGTGACCTTGAACACAGTGTTTAACCTCTCTGAACCTCAGTATCCCCATCCGGAAACTCAGGGTGATAACAGTCTTCTACGCCATAAAGTTGATTCAAGAACTAAAACAAGAGATGACAGATGCCTGCTGCAGAGCGCCTGCTTGATCCATCACACGGGCCGTCCATATTGTTGCTCCTACTGTCGCCCACAGTAGGACACAGCAGCCCAGCCAGGAGGCGGCACCGCTCTGCCAATCTCCATTTTACAGACCGGGAAACTGACTAGAGTGATGAAGGGTTTGCCTGGGGTCACACTGCTGCAAAGGACAGAGCCCGGGCTGGAACCCAGGTCACCTGGCCCCTGGGTCCTTGCACGGGAGAAAGGTGGCAGGTCCCAGGGCTCATTACAGCAGCCCCAGTTAATTGAGAGCTTAATAATAATAACAGCAGGCCCAACATTTATTGAGCACTTACTACGCGCTGAGCACTTTAGGCCTTCTTACTTTAATTCTCATGACAGCCCCCAGAGGCAGCACTTCCCAATGTCCCAATGTCCCCATTTTAAGGATAATGAAACCAAAGCCCTGTGGTCCCTGCTGTCTTTGCACCTGCTGTTCCCTCGGCCTGGAATACCTACCCTTGTCCAGCCTGGCTGTCCGTGGGGGAGTGGGCCCTTCCGCTCCCAGCTCCAGTGACTCTTGGCATGGAGTCAGGTGCCCCTACTTTAACTTCTCGTGGCCCCGCATCTTCCCTGCTTCCGTGTAGCACGGTGATATTCATTCCGTGGTTCTCAAATATCTGCCGCCCCCATGGGAGTGTGAATCTGACATGCGTGTGTCCGTTTTGCTCAGTCCTGTCCCCCAGGGCGAGCCGCAGGATAGGTGCTGGATTGTTGATTGAACGGATGCATAAATAAGTAAGGGAACAAAGACACACAGGGAGGCCGGGGTACGTGCCAAGGTCACACAGCTAGAGTCAAAGCAGCTGGGCTGGGTACCCTAAAGCTGAGCAAGGACTGCGCTGTCTTCAGAGGCTCCCTCCAGGGGCCCTAGACCCACCCCTGGCTCTGTCTCAGGAAGGGACAGACACTGAGCCCACCTCCTCCACCCCACAGCTGAGAAGGGGAGCTGGTGCGAGCAGCAGCTGTGTGCCTGTGACAAGGAGCTGGCCTTCTGCCTTAAGAGTAACCTGGACACCTACCAGAATCATCTGCGTTTCTACTGGCGGCCCCGCTGCAAGGGCCAGACCCCTATGTGCTAGGAGAAGCCCCAGCTGTCCCGCGCCCTCCGCCCCTTGGCATCTTGAGCTCTGGAAGTCCCGTAGGATTGCTGACACCCCCGCCCCCAGTGTCTACCCCCCTGAACCAGCCTGGCTCCTTTAAAATACTCCTGGGAGGATGGAGGGTCTCGGCCTCCCTCCCACCCCCCATCTTGTCTCTTGGACCTTCTAAAATTTCCCAGCCGAGGCAGCAGCTGTCTCCCCTGGGAGTGGATTGGGAGCCCCCAGGGATGGTGTTAGAGTGAGGGCAGCAGGCAGTGGGGGAGGGGCCTGGAGGCCTAGGTGTGGCAGGTTCTCCCTGACAGGGCCACTCACCAGGCCTCCCTGACCCAGGCCACCTTCCAATACACTGTCCAACTGCAGCCAGAGCGGCCCCTCTAGAGGGCGACACCGATCTTTCTGTCCATGTGACTCTACTTCTTAAAACCCCAAAGACTTTCACCGCCCCAGGTTAGGGCCTCTCACAGGAGTTGGGGACCCGCACTGTCTGGCACTGTGTCCCCGTCCCCAACGAGGCTTGGAGGTCCTTGCGGGCTGGGCCCAGGCCTGTCTCTACTCAGTTGCTTCCCTGGTGCCCAAAGCCTGGAACAGAGACAGGGCTCCATCAACGCCTCTTGAGGGAGGGGTTGGATAAAGCCGCCTGCTCCCCTTCCCCAGGCACCAGGTCCCTGAGCACATGCCACATGTCCTCCTGGCTTTCCTTTCCTGTTTCTGGGCATTTGCTCAGGCAGGGCCTTCTGCAGAAATGCTCTCCTCAGGCTCCTCAGGGTCCAAAGTCTTTTTCCTACAGAAGTCTCCCCAGGCTGATTCCTCCTGGCTCCAAGGACTCACTCTGTCCTCCGAGCTCCCAGAGCACTTTATGGGTCTGCAATTCCCAAGCTTTATCTCAAGTGGTATGTAATTGTCCAGACTTCTCTGGGCTCCCCCAAATAGACTGGAGCTCCTGGAGGACAAGGACCGTGTCTGTTTCATCTTTATTTCCTCTGTTCCCCCCTAACAATAGGTGCTCAATTAATCCTCTCCCAGCCCAGCCCCCAAACCCCAGCTAAGCCAGGTGTTGGCTGCTAATGCTCACATCTGCCTCCTTCTCTTAAGGATTGCCCCTGTCTGCTCATCACCCCTCCCCACTCCAACTTCCTCTAACCAATGACTAGGGAGTATAACACCATCAAGGGTAGAACTGCCCAGCCTCTGTGCAGGACCATCAGGGTGGCACATTGTGTGCCCCAGAGCTCCTCGTGGGATCAGGCTGAGGGTAGACATCTGGAACCACTTCTTTGCTTAGCTTCATCCCCTGGCCTATCCTGTTTCCCATGTTCCCTTATAGGTGTCTCCAGAGAGCACTCCCTCAATAAATCATTCATTTGTTCAAGAATCCTTGTCTCAGGCTTGGCTTCTAGGGGAACTGACTTTGGATGGATGGATGGGTAGATGGATGGGTGGATGGGTGGGTGGATGGATGGATAGATGGATGGATAGGTGGATGGATGGGTGGATGGATGGGTGGATGGATGGATGGATGGATGGATGGATGGATGGATGGGTGGATGGATGGATGGATGGATGGATGGGTGGATGGGTAGGTGGATGGATAGATGGATGGACGAATAGGTGGGTGGATGGGTGGATGAGTGGATGGGTGGATGGATGGATGGATGGATGGATAGATGGGTGGATGCATAGATGGGTGGATGGATGGATGGATGGATGGGTGGGTGGATGGATGGATGGGTGGGTGGATGGATGGATGGATGGGTGGATGGAGAGATGGGTGGATGGATAGATGGGTGGATGGATGGATGGATGGATGGATGGGTGGATGGATAACTTTTTCATATAAGGATCCACAATCTTTCATTCATATGTCATTAGCCACATCTCCAGCAGTGGGGCTGGAGCACCTGGAGCCACCCACACCCTCTAGCCTGTGACACACATCTATGACACAGTTGACTGAGCAGTTTTCCTTTTACGTGACGCTCAGTGGCTCAAGCAAGGCAGTGTAATAGGAATTAAGAACTATGGGCACTGGGTTCAAATTCCAGCCGTACCACTCACCAGCCTTGTGACCTTACATGAGGACTCTCAGTTTCCTTTTTTGTGAAGCATAGAAGAAATTAAGAAGAAAACAAGAGGAGGTCAGTCTGAGTATTAAAGAAGATTAAGGTGTATTAAGCTCTTAGCACATGGTAATCCCTCTTTAAATGTTAACGGTATTATTATTGTTGTTGTTGTTATGTAGTGACCGAATCTGAAGTCACTCCCAAGATAAATCAGGGGGAGAAAATAGTTCATCACGCTCCCCTCTCTCCACCCCATTCCTCTCTCCCTTCTACGCCACTGTGCAAGCTGTGTCGGTTAAATGATGCACGGCGTCCATTTGTTCAAGACACTCAGTGAAGAGCTGGTGACTTCTAGTTGTCCCTAAGAGCTCCTGTGTGCCAGGCTTAGTGGCTTTGTGACCACATCAGTGTTGGCAGGTATGGGCGTTATTATCCCCATTTTATAAATCAGCAGCCTGAGGCTCAGAACAGGAATAGGAACCTCCTGAAGTCCCACAACCAGCAAAAGGCAGAGCCGGGACTCGCCCCACACTCTTCCCGTTCTGCTCCCTGGCACTCTGGTCCATTTCTACTGGTCAGGAAGCTTCCAGCCAAAAACTGTGACTCAACGGGCTTCAGTGATGAGGACATTAATAATCTCATGTGGCAAGAAGTCCAGGTGGCTTTTTAGCGGCTTGATGATGTCATCAGTGCCTGGTTTCTTTCCTGTTCCTGGCTCGGCCACCCTCACTGTGTCAGCTTTGCCCTCTGGGTGGGTCCCCTCCCTGCTCCAAGACGGCAGCCGTGGTCCAGACCTCAAGCCAGGACATGATACCAGCCAGCAGAGAAACATCCAGCTGTCTCTTCCATGCCTCTTTTTAATAAGCCCAGCACCACCACCCAGCAGCCCTCCCACTCAGGTCTGGCCACCCTAAACCATGGTGGCCCAGGGTGATGGGGTTACCCTGGTAGGTCTAGATTCCTCGGTTTATCTACCCCTGAGAGAGGACAGGGTCGATGTCTCTGAGGGGCAGGTAGCTGCTAGAATTGAGGCTGGTGGGGTTGTTGATAGGATGGGCAAGCCCGGGGCTGGGGCAGGAGCAGGGCTGGGCCTGCAGCTATCCCTCTGTGAGCTAAGCACCTGGTAACTGGCCTGGTGACCCCATAGTAGGAGATCAATAGGTATTTGTTGAATGAATGAATGAATCCCAAGTTGGTAAAGACTCGGGACTTTGGACCAGGAGTGGGATGGGCAGATGGGGTCTCAGGGCAGCCAGGACTGAGTCCCCCAAATAAAGCAGGACCCTCCCACCCTGTGAGTTCTCATCCTGGGCCAGTTTCCAATTACTGAAATTGATTATGAGGCGCAAAGGAAGGAGAGACAGGCAGCTCCTGCTCTCGGCCTCTGTTTCTCAAAGAGCACTGGATGTAGGAGGCAGCAGAAGGATGCAGTGACGGGGCTTCCTGTTCCCTCTGGGGTCAGGTTCTGCAGTGGGACACCCGCTGGGGAGAAGCAGAGCGAACATTGAACTCCTGACAGTGAACACCTGTGGTGCCCACTCACCCACCCCTCTCAACTCCCTCGGGACATTGGTATAGTCACCTGCATTTTCCAGCTGCAGAAACTAAAACTAGAGATTGAGTCACTTGTTGATAAGTGGCAGGGCTGGGATTCAAACCCAGGTTTCTCTGGCTCCAAGCAATGACTCACCCTACCTCCCACACACTTTACTAGGATAGTTGGTGACTCGGCCCTGAGTGCCCCTTGGCAGGGAATAGCCATGCCCAGGGACCAGGATGTCAGGGTGGGTGTGGCCAGTCAGGATCCTGGGGGAAAGGAGTAGTGAGAAATAATCATACCAACAATAATAATCGCCCTCAAGTAGAGCCCTCACATTTGGGGCACTTTATCCTGCACTGAGCCCCTTCTCACCATTGGCTGTTCCAACCCTCCGGTCGCATGGATCCAGGGTTCTGCCTCGGGGTCCGGGGCCCCAGGTCAGGGCCAGGATGGGCGGATGACGTCTTCACGTCTCTGCCTACTTGTCCAGCTGGATCCTGCCCCCACATCCCATACTCCTTTCTCACGTGCTCCCCAGTGCTGTGACATGCAGGTGGAGCCGGGGCTCCTGTGCCCCACCTGCCCCTCTGTCTCAGTGCCCCCTTGAGCGAGAATGGGGCATTTGCACTTGGGGTCCCTGGTATCCTTGCTCACTTCTGAGGTCAACCTGAAAGCCGACCTGACCCCGGGCAGCCTGACAGCCCAGAGTCAGAACCTGGCTGGCTCTCTCTAGCTCATGGTCCTCTATTCTTTTTCATTTAAAATAGAGAAGAGATTTTCAAGACAGTTTGTAAAAACTCAAAGCAGTTCAGAGAAGGCAACAGAGGGATTCCTCGCTCTTCTCTCTCTGCTTTAGGTTCCTGGCCAAGCCTTGCCCACCTTGGGGTCTCTCCTGGAAGACACTTCCCTGGGCCCTTTGCAAAACCGGCCCCTTCTGTCAGGGGCTCAGCTGACCATTGTCACTCAGGAAAATGCCCTGCCCTCCCAACCTGAGTTAACCACCTTCCCGCCCTCACTTACCCTCTGTCTCCCTGCCTTGTTTTATTTTATTATTTTTTCAGGTTAAAAATATGAGTTGATTTTTTAATTGAAGTCTAGTTGACATACAATATTTTATTAGTTTCAGGTGTACACCATTCAACATTTGTATATATTATGAAATGATCACCACGACAAGTCTACTAACCAGCAGTCACCATAAAAAGTTATTACAACATTATTGCCTGTACTCCCTATGCTGTATATTACGTCCCCATGACTCGTTTATGTTATGGAAGTTTGTACCTCTTAATCCCCTTTGCCTATTTCACCCATCCCCCTCATCCTACCCTCTGGCAGCCACCGGTTTGTTCTCTGTATTTATGAGTCTGTTTCTGTTTTGTTTGTTCATTTGTTTTGTTTTTTAGATTCCACATATAAGTGAAATCATATGGTAGGTGTATTTCTCTGCCTGACTTATTTCACTTAGCATAATATCCTATAGGTCCATCCACGTTGCTGCAAATGGCAACATTTCGTTCTTTTTCATGGCTGAGTCAGATTCCATTGCACATATATACCACATCTTCTTTATCACTCATCTATCAATGGACACTTAGGTTGCTTCCACATCTTGGCTATTGTAAATAATGCTGCCATGAATTTAAGGGTTCAGATATCTTTTTGAATTAGTATTTTCATTTTCTTCAGATAAATACCCAGAAGTGGAATGGCTGGATCATATGGTATTCCTATTTTTAATTTTTTGAGAAGCTTCATACTGTTTTCCATAGTGGCTGCACCAATTTACATTCCCACCAACAATGTACGAGTGTACCCTTTTCTCCACATCCTCACTAACACTTATTTGTTATCTTTTTGGTAATATCCATTATGACAGGTGTGAGATGACATCTCATTGTAGTTTTGATTTGCATTTCCCTGATAATTAGTGATGCCGAGCATCTTTTCATGTGTCTGTTGGCCATCTGTATGTTTTCTTTGGAAAAATGTCTATTCAAGTCCTCTGCCATTTTTTAATCATATTATTTGTTTTTTTGATGTTGAGTTGTATGAGTTGTATATTTTGGATATTAACCCCTTATCAGATATATCAAAAAATTGAAGAGGAAGGAACACTTCCAAACTTATCTGATGAGTCCAGCATTACCATGATACCAAAACCAGACAAGGACATGACAAAAAAAGAAAACTACAGGCCAATATCCCTGATGAACATAGATGCAAAAATCCTCATCAAAATATTAGCATACCAAACTCAATAATACATTAAAAAGATCATACATCATGATCAAGCGGGATTTATCCCAGGGATGCAAGTATGGTTCACTATCTGCAAATCAATCAATGTGATACACCACATTAACAAAATGGAGGATAAAAAATCACATGATCGTCTCAATAGATGTAGAAAAAGCATTTGACAAAAGTCAACATCCATTTATGATAAAAACTCTCAACAAAGCAGGCGTGGAGGGAACATACCTCAACACAATAAATGACATAAATGACAAACTCACAGCTAACATCATACTCAAAGGTGAAAAGTTGAAAGCATGTCCTCTAAGATCAGGAACAAAACAAGGATGCCCACTCTCATCACTTTTATTCAACAGAGTATTAGAAATCCTAGCCACAGCAATTAGACAAGAAAAAGAAATAAAAGGCACGTAAACTGGAAAGGTAGAAGTAAAACTGTCACTGTTTGCAGATGACATGATGACATATATAGAAAACCCTAAAGGCTTCACGAAAAACATGTTAGAACTAATA